CTTCTCAAAACTTAATGTGCATGCCCTAATCACCTGGAATTTTATTAAAATGCAGATTCTAATTCAGCAGGTCTGGGATGGGATCTTATATAATGCATTTCTAACAAGCTCCCAGGACATACCGAGACCTAAATTCTATAAAACTTTTGTAGTTCAAGATACAGGGCTGGCCGGGCACGGTGGCTCACTCCTGTAATCCCAGCACTTTGGGAGGCCAAGGCGAGCAGATCACGAGGTCAGGAGATCGAGACCATCCTAGCTAACACGATGAAACCCCTGTCTCTACTAAAAAAATACAAAAAATTAGCCGGGCGTGGTGGCAGGCGCCTGTAGTCCCAGCTACTCAGGAGGCTGAGGCAGGAGAATAGCGTCAACCCGGGAGGCAGAGGTTGCAGTGAGCCGAGATCACGCCACTACACTCCAACCTGGGTGACAAAAAAAAAAAAAGAGACACGGGGCTAGAATTGAGTGGGACTCAGATACCTCCTAAGGATCACCTGGTAAGGTTTCACAGCACTCAATCACCCAAGCTTCACCATGAGTGATTAAGATTTAGAAGATCCAGGATGAACAGCAGGAATCAATATTAAAAACAAACAAACAAACAAACAAACCTTTTTAAGTGACAAAGATACTCACTGGTCTGAAAACCACATCTGAGTCCCTTCCTGCTCTGCCTGTGCTCTGAATACTGCAGAGAGACCCATCTGCTCTGGAAGTATAAACAATTCCTTTACCATCTCCAGACCCCACCTGCCCTCCCTCCTCCACCCCCACTTCACCTTTCCCCTAGCTTGTCCTAACACATAATCCTCCCACAAAAAAAAAAAAAAACAGTGCAGCAAGGAAGGCGCAGGTATGACAGGAGGCATTTCAGCCATGGCTTCACTGTAAGGCTCCTCACCTCCCGGTCCCCGCTTCCTCACTTGCACAAACGAAGTTGTGAGGGATCAAAGAGTTACCCTACTGAAAAAGCTTTGTCAACTCTAAAGCACCACATGAACATGTTATTTTTTATTAGATCTATGATGACCGGAAGAAACACACTTACAAAAGTCTAAACCTCTCAGGTCCCTGTTCTGAGGGTTGTGTGTGCGGTTTTTTTGTTTTTTTTTTTTTTTTTGAGACGGAGTTTCGCTCTGTTGCTCAGGCTGGAGTGCAGTGGCGTGATCTTGGCTCACTGTAACCTCCGCCTCCTGGGTTCAAGTGATTCTCCCACCTCAGCCTCCCAACTAGCTGGGATTACAGGCGCATGCCACCACGCCTGGTTAATTTTTGCATTTTTAGTAGAGACGGGGTTTCACCATGTTGGTCAGGCTGGTCTGGAACTCCACAGCTCAAGTGATCCGCCCGCCTCGTCCTCTCAAGTGTTGGATTACAGGAATGAGCCACCACGCCCCGCCCTCTGTTCTGAGAACTTTCTATATCCTCCGCCTCCTTCACTGTGCTCCTCTCAATTTAAAGCACAAAGTCTCCATATTTCCACTTCCTAAATGTACAAACTAAACTTCACCAACAAAACAGGTAAAGTATGTTACAATGAGCCTCAAGTTAAAATGGCTTCAAATTTGTAGAAGGTGCCAACAAACCACACTGCATGTATGTACATCTGCTAATATGCTTGTAGGGGTTTTCCTCCCCAAAAAAATCTATCCTCTATCCTCTTAAATAATTTTTACTCTGTTACCTAAAATTCTCAAGTCTCATCTAAATTTGCTCCCTGCTTACTGACACTGCTACCACACTCCCTTCTGGGCAGGCTTTTATTCTGACACCACCCCTATGGGTCCCCAATCATACTGGTCTCCTTGAGAAAGGCATCTGCTATATAATCCATTTGCTAATAAAATCCTCTGATTTTCGAAGATTCCCTGACAGAGGAAGCACTCACCTGTGCACTTTTTATTTTTCAGATTTATCACAGGGAAGCACTTGCCAAAGGCCACTGAGAGCATGCCTTCCACATTGCTCAGGGATGGGAGGCGAAGAAGGGAGGGGTGGTACCACCAGGCAGGACACTCAGGTCTAATGACACACCTGGCTTGCTTTCCACGTGCTCAGCCAACCAGAACTCTTCAGTGCCCCCAGGCACGACTGGGAAAATTCCTCACCTGCCATGCTTGAACCTAGCACCACACAGCCTAAATCCACAGGGCACACCAGGAAGCAGAAAGGACTAAGTCAAGCCTTGAAATGTTCCAGTCTGAGACAGGGTGGAAGTGGGTAACCCTTGTTGTTCCCCAGTTAGCTAGACAGTCCAGGAACCAGAATGAAGTTCCCTCAAACCCAATACACAGGAGAGCACGGGGTCCAGGACAGCTCTATCTGCTGAGGGGAGCAGCCCTGCAGGGCAGACAAAGCAGAAGGCACGTACAACCAAATGGAGCTGCCTTTGCTGAACAGGGCCACCCTAGAACACCACGCAGGGCGTATTTCCCAACAAACTAGTCGGCCAAAACACCATTTGGTTTCAATTAACAGAAACCCACTCCCACTAACCTAAGGTAGGAAAAAAAGGTAAGAGAATACGAGTTCATTATAAGGCCAAGGTGTCCATCAAAAGACCCCTGAATCAGAAACTGCAGCCAACCCTCAGGAGAGATGAAAACCAGGAAACAGAAAACCATCAGGAAATGAGACTATTCCCCTGGTCTCTCGTCTCATCCTCAGCACAACTGTGCTTCCTTGTCTCTCTGCAAAGTGGCTTTATTCCACACTTCTCTACACCCATGAGTCTGACATCTACTGCCTAGTTAAGGTCTCCCTGAACTACAGTGTGAGCATCAAAGACAAACTAGGATTGCTATCTCAATCCCAAAATAGGCAGGAGACAGATTTTAACTCAACTTGGCTCAGATATCCCCACTTCGATCCAAACAGAGAAAAGGTAGGTGAGCTGGTCCTACTATAGAAAGCATCTTCTTGTCCAACACAATTACAAAACAAAAACAAAACAAAAAACACACACAAATGACAGCCGCTGAATGAACTCCGACCTTTGTTAAATCCACAAAGTTTTTCAAAAGTATCATCTTGTCTTCTTACCACTCTAAGGAGGCACAGCTGTACAGTCAGAGCCTCAAATAACAAGCAACTGTCTTCTTCGTAGCTTGCTTGGGTTGGAGGAAAAAAGCACTTTGTTGCTATCAAATAGGAACGTATTTCTGGTTCCTCCTTTTTTCTTTAGAGTTCTTAGCAGTAATCTCACCTGAAAGGGGGCAGAACCTGGCTAAAATATGGCAAGGTCCTGGACAGCATGAATGCCAAGGGCTGGGGAGACGCAGGCACAGTAGAAACTCACACAACACACAAACAGAACTCAAGCCTTCTGGGGCAGGCTCAGAAAACAAAATAATCTGCCATCTATAGGAAATATCTGCTCAGTGTAAAGGTTAAGTGAGGCCCCCTTCCTTACAAAAGCCACTGGGTTTTTCATAAAGTAACCCTAAAGAGTCCATCAGTCTGGATCCATTTCACCTAAGGCAACAAACATTCCTCACAGATCATGGGCTGTGCTCTGTGTGGCTGCTAATAGGATAATCTGTTACGGGAGGCTTACAAATCCATTTACATTGATTTTAATTAATGAATCAATCCCTGGCCCTGAACAACTCGGTCCAGAGACGATAAGCAATTCACGATTCCGTCTCTAATCCCAGTCTGAAATCTACATGAAAAAGAAGTTAACTCTCAGATCAATGAAGGACAAATAAAAATAATTGGATTTGTATCTCTCTCAACATAAGGAAAAATCTCTTCCAAGTTTAGACAGTGACTATTAACATGTTAATAAGAGTAATAAATTTTCACAGTGATTTCCAAAGAAACTCACCTAAGACTAAGGAGCTTCTGTACCAGCCTGAAATCTGGAGAACCACAGCCAGAAATTATGACTCCCAGTCAAGCCTCTAAAATCAAAATGAGCCTGACTTTCTCAACAGCTTATCAGAACCTTTCAGTGAGGCCTGAAGTTGAACAGAAAATTACCCAAACACAAATACAAACGACAAGAAGGAAGTGGCACTCGCCAGCCTGGCTGTGCGCTGAATGAGCCACACTTGATTAAAAAGCCAGGCAAAGTTTTGCATTTGCTTTTATTTTACTCTTTACAAAGGCTGAAACAGAATTTGACCTTTCTGAGCTATTGCCAGCTATGAATTGGAAATAAGCTCAATTTAAAAGGCAGCATCAATATCTAACTGCTCATCATCTCAAATTCTTTTCCATCTTTCTCAGTGTCTTTTCACAGGGTTGGTCTACCCATGCTATTTTTAGACTTCTATCAGAACTTCCAATGACTCCACATAAACCTACAGTAGGGGGGGAAAGGGTCTCATTTCAGTCCCATTTTCTCAAATCCCACAGCTAGCTAACACCAATTAGCGTAGAAAAAGAATGTAAGAATTGATAAATGAAAATGAGTCACACTCAATTTCAATTTTTTTCAAGATTGAAAAAGCTCATAAATTCACAAGTAAAGCATAAAGCAACAGTGAGTCCCAATCTCACATAGAAAGAGTAGCCCGACTCTGTTCTGACTTAGGTACATACACACAGTAGGCACTGCTCATAAAGGAGAAAAATAAATACGAGTCACAGCAGACCCAATGTTGGGAGACAACTTCGTGTTTCTCCCTTACTCTTTAAAATATTTAATAAAACAGTTATAAAACTGATTCTGAAGTCAGGAAGACTGGCCTGAAACACAGCAAAAGGAACCCCAAAAAAGAAAAAAAGAAAAAAAAAAAGGACCCTGTATATAAGGAAGTAAATTGCAAGTCAAAGCAAGAGACAGGCCAGAGCTTGGCAGGCTGGCAAATGTGTTAGTTTGTTCTCTCCCTTCTCTCTCTTTTTTCTCTCCTTTTTCTCAAATGGAGAACAAACAAAGAGTTGATACTTCAACTATACATATGGAATCCAGAGCTTTCTGCCTAGTGTCCGCTTGCATGTCCCCAAGTTTTAGGATTCACTGGAACACTAAAGCCCCTTGAAATACTTGCCATGTGTTTGCTGGGGCACTTCCCCGGACTCAGCCTGCCGCTTTTCCTGGCTGAGTTGTGCCGGGCCGCACAGCAGAGCCGGGTGTGCCAATGCAGCCTGACATTCAGATCAAGACCACAAATTATAAACAGTTTCAGTAAATTGACTCAAGTGCCTTTGTTCCTCAGACATACATCTTCCTACCGCTTACAAAGGCAGGCAGCAGAACCTAACCACCAACGCGGCTATAGCCAGGACTGGGAAAGGAAGTTATTGAAGCCTGGATTTCCTGCCTTTGCTTGTAGCCAAGAACTATGAGGCTTGTAGTGGTTTCAGGAACTGACTCATCTCATGATTCATGGATAAGATACTGCTTTTAATATGTTTCTGACCCTAAGATTCAGGAACATCAAAACCAATCTGAACCTATGCTTCACTCTTATTTGCAAATGAATATTCACAGCAAAATAAACAGGAGGACAACGGTCACTGAAACAATGAAAACATCACGCCAATGGCAGGAAAAGTGGAATGCAGGCATCACATGGGAAGCCGTCATCAAAGCTTAATCCATGGGCTGCGACTTAACAGCGTTTCAACTTCCCAAAAGTGGATAACAGGTGGGATAAGGTTTATTTTTAGATGTCATTCTCCTAGATGTAAAAATAGATTTAGCACAGCAATATTTTAATTCAGGCCCATCTGGGGTTGTGACTCTAAATATCCAGCATGTACAGAAGCATGCAGCTTAAGACTTAACTGTTCCAGTTGCAAACCAGAGTTCAGAGTGAGCTGACCAATGAGTAATGGGTAATAAAGGACTCGCACTGGAACTCATTCTCTTAAATCATCCTCTGCTGGAAGGCTGATATTCTGTATTTCCACCCATGTGCTGACTGGGCTTCTCTCTCCTTTACTGTGCGCGTGCACACACGCATGGACACACATGCACACAGCCCAGGACTTAAAAGCAAAGCTCTTTGAAAGTACTAAGCACCAGGGGTCGCACCTCTGGCTGCTTTCCATGATGTTCCCCGTGGATTTATTCATCACAAAGAGGTCCCCACTAGAAAAAAGTTTTAAAGCCTCCCTCATTCATGAATCGTTGGATTCTCCCCACTCTCCCCACACAAGACATTAAGCACAGGACCAGTAGGGGTGGTTTTCAAAAGCCTTTATGGGTTTCGACACAGCCCAGTTGCACAGAAGGAAAAGGGGAAAAAGAACACAAAAAACACAGGCTGTTCTGTAGGGTGGGGGTGGAGGAAGCAGTAAGAACAGTTGACCAGGCAAGGCCAAAGTGCAGGGGCCGGCTGGCAGGCGCTGCATGGCTGGGCTCCTCCAGCAGATTTACTGACATGACGTCAGTGGCTCCAGTCCAGCTTTTTCTTTGGTAGCTTTTACCACTTGCCTCCTGAAGCCTCCACTATGTTAGGGAGCCACAGGACCATAATGAAAATTCCCTTTGTGAAACTGAGTTTACCGCGGGGCAGAGGCCTGCCTTGTGAATTACGGGGCTCTTCCCCCTACTCTCAGTGCCCACGGAGGAAGGGGGGGGAATAAACCCCTACAATACTGTACTTTCCTTTAATACAGAGGAACCATTAAATTAAGCTTGCGGCTTTAAAGAGAAAAAAAAGCCAGGGTGGTGGGTGAGGGGCATTAAATGTGTATCCAAAATTCCCCAGGCCGGGATGCTGGTTAATTTCTCAGTGGTGTGGAGAATGATGATAATTTCAGGACTATTCACTTGTGCTGTTGTGAGACTGTATTGGCTGCACTGTGAACGCATACGGCTTTGTTTCACCAACAAAACAAAAAAGTATTACCGAAGCTAAAACTGTAGGTCTGAATGGAACCTCTGAAGAAAGCATTAGAGCTTGTCTTTAAAATGAGCCCTGCTTCGCTGGGGCGACTCGGGGGGCTGGCCTAAGTGCATAGTCTATGATGCACCAACACAGGTATAAAACAATTTCCAAGAAGCAAAGACAGAAATTACAATACTAAAGATAAGTTTAATAGCAGACTTGTTAAATAAAAAACACTCATCTTAGACTTACAGGCCTACTACTGTATGCCCGCAGCAGTAAAACAATAGCTATGTTACAACTAGGGGTCCAAGGCATAAATATATGTAAAACTACAAATCTTCAACTTATTTAAACTTATGAAAATAATAGACTAGTGACAAATTCTTCAAATGACTAGGACATTAAATACATTCTATTTTAAACACTTTGGAGAAGAAGTACAAAGTTTAATTCAACCAAAATTTATTGAAACAAATGAGTACAAATGCACCCAACAATATCACTGAAATACAGCTTGCAGCCTGAATGGCTCACAAAGGTAATAAGATAAGGAATCTCTCACGTCCTGGTTATGTACACAAGGATACAACAAACTATCAGGTAGACATGATGAAGGCAATGACTAAAGACTTCTGTGAAGCCTACATTAACATGAGTTTTGGCCTTCAGGAGGCAAGTCAAACCACAAACCATCCATGGTAATTCTTCAGCTTGGTCTTTTTCTTAAGGGAGGAAAGGACAAGATGACAAGCACAAGCATGAAAGTGGTAAACGAGAGCCAAAGAGGCCAGGCATGAGTAAGTGTGCAAGGAAAGCTTTTACCACGATTAGAGTTGACAGGACAAGCAGGATCCATTTCCAAAGGTGAGCAGATTATTCAACTGAAGGAGTGGGAGGAGAAAAAAGCAGAGAACCTAGCACACACATCATAGCCTGGAAATTCCATTTCTCAAGAAAAGAAACCCAAACTCTGCAGAAATGGTTCATTCTATCTCCCAGAATATACAAGAGATTGGACAGCAAGGAAACTATAAAAGACTATTATTAGGGTCACATCAAAAGGCCACAGGAGCCAACTAAAGAAATTCCCTCTGGCCAAAGACGAAACAATGTGAGCATCAGTAAGAGGAGGAACTGCAATCGACTGAAATGCATTCGATAATTTAAAATCAGTGATTGCCTAATGATATGCAAACAAAAAAACTATCTTTCCTTTACAAATTATATGCAAGGTTAACCATATAGTTGATAAAAGAAACCTTCTCCATAAAAGAAGGAATGGGTTGGGTGGGATGGCTCATGCCTGTAATCTCAGCAATTTGGGAAGCCGAGGTGAGCATATCGCTTGAGCCCAGGAATTCCAGACCAGACTGGGTTATGAAACCTCATCTCTACAAAAAACTAAAAAACTAGCCAGGCATGGTGGCGCACTGACAGTCCCAGCGATTTAGTAGGCTGAGGTGAGAGGATCACCTGAGCCCAGGAAGTCAAGGCTACGGCAAGCTGAGATCGCACCACTGTACTCTAATCTGGGTGACAGAGTAAGACCTGTCTCCAAAAAGAGAACTAGAGTATCAGAGTACCATCCGTTTGCAAAAACTACATGAAATAATAGATACAGGCAGAGATTATCAATCAATGGCACTAACATTACAGAAAAAGTGACACTGTACGTTGTGTGCCTCCTGGTAGAATACTAGCTATGAAATATTTGCATAAAAAATGTTTTTAAAAAACCTGAATTAGATCAAATGTCGACATCTAAAATTCCGTTTATAGGAAATACACAGGATAAGAGAATAAAATACACAGCACAATGGAGATACAACTACAAAATCCAGAACGAGGAAGTCTAGAAGAGAAACACAGGGGCTTTTGTAACAAATCAATTACAAGAAAGGTGGGGATGAGATTTAAAGAGTTTTAAGAAATACAGCAACCAAATATAACCTGTTGATCTGGTTTTGGACCCTCATCTGAACAAGCGAACTGTGAAAAAACATTTATGAGACAATCAAAGAAATCCAAACAGTGACTAGATAATTGACATTAAGGACTTACTATTTTTTTTTTATTTTTATTTTTACTTTTTGAGATGAAGTCTCACTCTGTTGCCCAGGCTGCAGTGCAGAGGCGCGATCTCAGTTCACTGCAAGTTAGGCCTCCTGAGTTCACACCATTCTCCTGCCTCAGCCTCCCGAGTAGCTGGGACTACAGGCGCCCACCACCACGCCTGGCTAATTTTTTGTATTTTTTAGTAGAGACGGGGTTTCACCATGTTAGCGAGGATGGTCTCGATCTCCTGACCTCGTGATCTGCCCACCTCAGCCTCCCAAAGTGCTGGGATTACAAGCATGAGCCACCATGCCCGGCCGACATTAAGGAATGATTAAAGTGCTGGTGTGATCATGGTATCATAGTTGGTTGTTTTTTTAAAAATAGAGTCATATTTTTAAAATACGTACTAATTTACAGATGAAATGGTATGACAACTAAGATAGCTTCCAAATAATCTAGTGGGAGAGGAGCCAGGAGTTTACAAGAATAGCCATGAGGTGATGATTGCTGCTGGGTGATAATGGGTGCACAGGGGTTCATTGCCCTCTACTGTACTAAACTTTCCCAAAGCAAAGACACTGAAAATCTAAAATAAAAATAAGATTCTGCTCCTGACCCCCTCCTTCAAAAAGAGAGACAGATGCTACGGAAGAGGTACCTGGCACTCTACTTCACAGATGCTGGATGATGGTGGTCACAATCATAAACAGCAGCGGCAGCTAATATTTATGAGACACTTCTCTGCGAGTCAGCACTGTGCTCACCCTCACTGAACCTGCACTATAACCCATAAGGAAGACACTACTATGTCCATTTCAGGGGTTAGGAAATTGTGGTGCAGAAGGATAAAGAGGTTGCCCAAGGTCCAACAGATAAGTGAAGGAAACCTGTGTCATTCCACAAGTTCATAAGCGTAATGAGAATGAGTTACATTATTCCAAAATAGTAACAACTCTCAAGAGTGCTGGGAACTCTATAAGCCAACAGATTCAATCCAGTGTTAAAGAGAGCAGAAGTGGTGCTTTTCTGATGACCATTTTTGGTGAAATGTAGTGAACTGCAGGGTAGAGTCTCTGAGATCTTAAAGTGATAAGAGCAGAGGAGAGAGGGTGAAAAGTGGACGGGGGAAGGGTGGATGGGTGTTTTCCAGGGAGGAGGGAGAGACAACAGAAAATATGAAAACTAAAGGGAAACAGCCTGACAAACCAAAAATTTAAAAACAAAACAAAACAAAAAAACAGAAAAATGACAAAGCAGGAAATCCAGCAAGAGGGGAAGCTGGGGCAAAGCTTAAAACTAAACCCGAAGGAGGAAGATGAAAAGGCAAATAAATGACCCCCAGTCAGACCAGCCCATGTTAGCTGGGAGGAAAACCTCAGGACTCTGAACAGAGAACTGGAGAGCGGAAGAAGCAGGAGAATTCTCAGTGGGTTGGGGGAGCCAATAGAGAGGCTGGCAGTGGGTCATTTGCTATATTTCATTTAAACTCACTATTATTTTCTCCACTTTGCAGAGGAGGAAACAAGAAGCCCAGAGAGAGTTAATCACTTACTCAAAATCACACAGCCAATAGGCAGAACTGGAGCTGCAACCAAGATCTGACCTCCAAGCCATGCTTTCAGCCTACTTTGCTAAATACACCAAGCACTAGTGAGAACTGCACAGTTAGGGCAACACCAAAACAGCCAACAGAAGTACCTAGGAAGAATTTAAGAAATGCATGAAGACTAAGAAGGTACAAGCAAGCTGGGAAGAGGGGAAAGACATGAGCACAGATACCTAAAAATTGGCAATCAGTGATCATGCACCTTTTGGCCGAGAGACACCAGAAATAGGACAGGAGGAAGAGATTGTATCAAGCAGCCCCACTGCCTCCCACCAAAAACCAACCAAGGTGTCAAAGATGGATATCAACCCTGTAAACAACCCCATTTCAAAGTCCCAGTGTCTTTTTCAGAGGCCTGATTATGAAGGGCTCTGGACAAGCACAGTTAACTCTCTTCTGCCAGCTGCCCCATCACTGCCCATCACCTATCACAGGCTAAGCTGGTCACCTGGGTGGGAGGAGAGAAATTCACCCCATCTCAGCAGGCTCCCAAGCACTCCCGTTATCAAAAAGTGAAGTCAAGGTCATCTACCTAAACTGTATCCCCAGCATAAGGCCATTTCCATATCCAGGCCTTCAGGGTGCTGGAGGGGGCTAACTTATTCTGCCTGCCTGCCAACACAGCACATTCCAAAGCAAAACCAGATATACTGGCAGGTCCAGTTCCAAGCTTCCAAACTACAGCAGTTCCCCCCTACCCACTACACCCGCCTAGAGAGCAGTTTGGATTAGCCTGGCCCCAAGGAGTCCTGCCCCCTCTCTCTCAATGGTGAGTATAACCAGTCACGGGGTGGGGGTGAGGGGTACTGGTCCCCAAAGTCCTGGAGGACTGAAACCACAGGAGAGAGGTGAACGAGGTAGGATAAGTAACCTCTGAGAGGCTCAACTGAGACACACCCAACTTTTCAAGACCTTAGCCATAAGTTTGTATTGAAGAGGGAGTAAAATGGGCCACCAAGAAAACAAAAGTATTGTGTCCTCGTTTTTTTGGGCAAATACACTAAATGAGAAGACTACCTTTGTTTCAATGTCACAATCTATCTTAACTCCCTTCAAATGTCACAAGAAAACCTGACAGGTGACTTGATGTGCAGTCCTTTGTTTGCCTGACAGCTGTGGAGTCACACAGATAAAGAACTGGTTTCAGAGTGTAGCTGTGTGATGCTGGGAAGGTCACTCAACTGCCCTGAGCTTCAGCTTCTTCAACTACAACTGGAACTCATATGGGCTTAAGACAGAACCTGGCCTGTCAGCCTTCCCTTCCCATCCGAGAAGCCCAGGAATTAGCACAACTAAAAGTGAACTCAGCAGTACTGCTCCTCCTCCACAAAACCTGTCTTTGAGGGTTATGGATGGTATGATAAGATAACAGTTCTCCAGGACTTTTCTGCCTAAGGGCTCACACATTTTCTCTCTTTAATCAAAAGCCCAGCACAAAAACAGCTAGAGGGGCAAGAGGCAGTACAGCATCATCTTCCCAGAAAAATAAACCAAAGATTTTCAAGTGACTTACCTAAGGTCACAGGAAGAGTCATAGCAGAGCACTCCCAACCAAGACTTCCTTCCACACCAGCTAGAAGTGGAGAGACCAAGATCCAGCACTTGCAGGACCCTCAAATGCCTTCTCTCAAGTGAACCACCCCAACAAGGTAACAATTCTCTAGCAGAGTTCTCAACAGCAAAGTCTAGACGCCATTGTTTTGGCCAGAGCTAAACGCTGGACTGAACACCTCCACTCCTGCCCGAAGTCACTGCCTGAGGCACACCACAAAATAACTAAACAGTGGTGTCAAAAGAACCACCAGGAACTGAGCAGTGTCCTTCCAATTACTTTTGGTTTTAGGCAAAGTTCTAAAAGTACAAAAATTTATTTTAAAATTTCTAAAATTCCACTCAATGTGCTCTGGCTTATCTATTTAGGTGCATCATAGAACATCATCACACAGTCTCCCAAAGAACACAGGTAAGTGAGTTTGAAACCTAAGAATGTCAAGAGTGCCAAGACCACAGGTTCTAAATTATAATCTGAAATCCTCCATTTTCATACAGTACAAACCAACCTTTCAGAATACCACTGAAAAAAAACTTCTTTCTAAATTAAACTTTGTTGGTCTAAAAGGAAATGAACCAATGCTGAATCATTCCTATGAATGATGAGAATTATTTTTTTAAAAATACTTACGAATGCATCCACAGAAAAGAACAAGGTTTGAAACAATTTGGTTGAAATAGCACAGATTTGAAGGGAAAGTTGTTTCCTGAAATTCCCCTCTATTGTAGCTCTGGCCTCAGAAATGGCCTGGGACAATCCTTCAAAAGTAATACTGTTATGAGCTCAATACCAAGACACCACAAAGCCCTCCTGCCCGGGATTTTCTCTCCATTTTAGAGAAGTCTAGTCTGCCAGTTTCCCTGACAGTTTCCTATTAGTACAATAGGCATATAATTTATCATCCAAACTGGGACATTCTGATAGTAAAAGAGGGCTCTTTAAGGATTATGCCAAGACAAGCAACATAAACCAGGACTATACCAGGCAAACAGGTACACAGCCATGGGGAACCATAAAGGGCAGCCCTGTAGAAAATACAAACGGGCAAAACTGCCACAACAGTAACCACAAGGAAGGCAGCCAAGATCTGGTGGGTGGACACAGGA